TTGGCCACTTCATTTCCTTCTGAAGACAGCTCGTGTGAATGCTTCACTTTTACTCAGCCTCTTAGTATTTTACAGAGAGAGTGTAAAGAAGAATTATTTTACCAAACAGAAAAAACTCAGGCAAACCCAGCCCAACTTGCCTATTTTGAATAGTCCAAAGAAGTTACACCATACACATTTTTTTTTTTTAAATTAAGAACACGTGTAATAGAGAAATGTTAATATAATATATACCATGCTCCTGCTCCATCAACCTTCCAGAAAGAGTTTTTCAATCACAGGACTAAGCCGTTCTCCAAAATCAGCTCTCTATTGAAAGGTCGAAACCTGCAATAAAAACGTCATGTATTATAACATATTTCCAACACCCACAGTTTCATGGTTGATCCCCAAACATAGACAGAGGTCATCGGGCTGACCCTCGCATTGTCTATATTACAGGAAATCCTAATTTTAAAGAGGGAGAGAGATATATTTTAAACCAAACCGGGTTGATTGGGAACACCTGTGATATGCCTCTTTATTATCAGAAGCCTCTCGAAACAAATCAGATTAGCATGCCCTGCTTTCATTCTTCCTGCAGCATTTTAACATGAAAGCAAGAGGAAGAAAAAAAAAGGGGGGGGGGGGAAGGGAGGAGGTGCGGGAGGGGGGAGGAGGGGGGGGGAGAACCTCTCCCAGTCTCTCCCTCCACCCTGAAAGCAGCAAACAGGTTGAGTACAAACTGCTTAATGGGTGTGTGATGACTGCTGCCACACTCCCCAGACGGTGCTGCTGACTGAGCAGGGTTGAACTTCGCACGTTTTTCCTGAAGGAGCTTCAGCTGCTTCTCTTCAAGGGCAGTTACCACTGCTACGTTCGTTAAAATGTAGCTGCGCAAATACTAGCTGCTTTAGAAGGTGTAAGAGAAACTGTAGAGTCATCTAATGCTCTCCCAGCAAAAATTTAAAAGCATACTGGGAAGAGGAAAAAATAAAACTAAAAAAAAAAAAAAGAAAAAAAAAAAGAAAAAAAAAAAGAAATTGGCCACGACAATATTCAGGTAAGAACAAAACATAACCTGATAGAGGGAATAACTGTATCAGGTATCTACTGCAGGAAGCAGTGCATCCACACAGCCACATCCTTCCACTTATTGGAGCTTTTCTCACTGCAGATAGCAGGACATGACACATGCAGTGCCTAACAAACGTGGCAGCAGCTGCCTCGCTCAGCTCACCTGCTCACAAACGTGCCCCATCATTTTGCCCTTTATTCCTTCATCGTAGTTCAGAAAAATCCTAAAAAAAATCCCCATAGTTGTAGAGCTCTGATAAGCACTCTGCTTTAATCAGAACAGAAAATTTGCCTTATTTAAAAAAAAAAAAAAAAAAAAATTATGGGAAGGATCAGTGAAAATAAAAGTTTCTGCTCTTCAACCAATAACACAAAAATGCTTCTCAAAATTCCCTCCCCACGCTTATATTAAGATTTAATATCCTTCAAGCTAATACTGAAAGCAAGCTCACAGAAAAGCACCTTCTACGAAAACAGAGGCTGGAGCCCTCAGCCGAGTGTAATTATCTCCTTCTCAGCTGAGACCTTCCTGTGAATTTCAGCTCACACTAAATAAAATAATTAGTTGCAGCTAGATCAGACGTTGAAAAGTTTATTAATAATCCATTTAGTGTGGATACACTCATTACAGTTTCTGAAAACAAACCAAAAAGTCACTTTTTATCCTCTTCTTCTAACAGTGGTTTCCTTCAGACATTAACAACCATCCCTGCGAGTCACAGCTATTTTTCAGCTGTAAGCACAGTATCATCTCAGAGCAACACATTGGGAAAGTTTTTACAAAATAGGAGCTCAATGTACAGAATTGACATTTTTCTCCTGTTCTGTGTATGTGGCAATGAATGTGTGTGTGCCTACGAGGAGGCCATCCTCACACACTGGCAACTGCATTGCCGAGATAGGAAGAAGTGCTTAGAATTACACAAAGTCATTAATACTCGCTGTAAAGATAACTTTTTTTTTTTTTTTCTTCAAGAGATGATGTGCTAAAATATGATTAGATGCTAATATTAAAGTAAAAAACTGCCAGGTGTTGGCTGCTCTCCCTGCTGCCCCTGCGCACAGCAGCAGCACAGGGGCTGAGCTGAGAGCTGCCCCCCAGCCCCGCTCCCACTCTCTGCCCCAGGAACAGGCACAGCTCCTCACACTGCAGCTGGACTGCTTTTAGGATTTGCAGCAAAGGGTTAAAAAAGAACTTCAGCACAGACACTGCCTCACACCCCATTAAACAATAGGCAGGGATTATTCTACCTAGCTCATGGTAACTATTTCTGATACTGCCCAGCATCCAAATTTAGGGTAATTTCAAAAATACTATTCCCCCGCTAAGCCTAACTTCTCCTGTTTGTTGTGCATTAACACACAGTTACAAAAAAAAAAAAAATTAAAAAAAAAAAAAAAAAAAGTAAAAAAATCCTACGTAGCTCCTGCCAATAATTTGCAAAATAAATAAATAAAATGGCAAAGCAGCATTTTGGCTGAGGGAAATGAAGCATCGGGAATCCATGCCACACACCTCCCCTCTGCATCATGTCCCCCCTCACATCTGTGGGACACATCTTCAGTCCTCCTGCCTTAGAGTACATCACCAGTTCTATTAAATAACAAAAAAAAAAAAAAAAAAAAAAAAAAAAAAAAAAAAAAAAAAAA